TACTATTTCATATTGTTTTACAACACATGGCTTTAGCCCTCTGGTGGGAAAGACTTTAAAACAAAACTTACAACAGTTACTTTTCTCAACAACTGAAATTTAGAATAGTGTGATTAAGAAAAATATGTGAACTGTTTGCAATTTCAAATTAATATTGAAATGTACAGGTTTAGAATTTTCTACAGTGAAAAGTTTTCGGAAGTTCATTATTCAAAAAGGTATACAAAAGCTAGACGTTAAGAACGTATCCAATGAGCGAGCAAAGCGAGCATTGGATTGCGAAGCTATCCGAAATGAACTGCGGAAGCAGTTCCGGGGGTTGGTGAGCGTTAGCGAGCAGGGGGCGAAGCCACCTAGTTTTATACTAATTCATATAATAGAATTTAGAATAAGAAAAAAATATTTTCTATATTTTTTAAATAAACGATACAGACAGATTACAATCAGTTTCAATAAAATTCCGCTAAAGAAATTAAATAAAATCAGAGATCAGAAAATTTAATAAAAAATTTTCAACGATAATCAATTCTTTTAACAAAAATTTATTTAATTAGTTTTTTAGAAATCGAGTAATTGAGTTAGAATTGAGTTTAATTAGATTTTTTAGAATTAATAACTTCACGTTTATTAACATTCTGACTTCTGTGGAGAAACTTTCCCGCCACTTTAAAACGCCATTTTGCTCATAAGCTGGAGCTGACGTCAGAGGTCACATGATCTTCTTTTTCAACTGCAAGTACCCAATTATGTTTTTTTAATATCGAATCTGTATTGGAAATTCGCGATCGCAACGCTCTAGTACGCCCTCTAGCGGGAGACTGAAAATATCAGGCATTAGTTCCCACATAACCATTGGCAATGACGGACGCCATTTTCTTAGCAGCAAATAAGAAGCAAAATTTCCCTAAGGAAAAGGTAGAACTTCTTGAAAAAAACTAACCAGAACATGCCAAACACTGAAACAGAACACGCCAAGCATTTGAAGAACAATTTCTCAATAATTTTTACCTTTCTATTACCAACAATATAATTTCCAATTTCCTGATCACTTGCTATTACAGATGAGTGTATTACGGTAAAATAATTTTTTCTGTTTTCAATTCATTACAAATTAAAGTGAAGTCAACATTGCTTTCGTCATTCCAATGAATAAAGTGAATTCAGAACTTACAGAACTGTAATAGTTATAGAATATTCTTCTTCTTTATAGAATAGTATAGATTTCTATATCTATATAATTCGGAAAACAATAATAAGGAATCATACGAACTACTGGAAATAGTTTCATTTGTGCTGATTATTAATAATTTTTTATCGCTTTCTTGATAAGTATTTTTTAGTTTTGAAAGAATAATTTCAACTAGAATTCAGCTATCCTGTTTTTAAGCTACATATTCAAATTCATATCGAGATCTTGAAATTATAAAATTTTGATGTGTGGTATGTTATCTAAAAGTAATGAAGGGATTATCTATGCATATATTATTTGAAAATAAAATTTTCAAACGAAGAACATTTCATTTGGAATTCTGCGGATTTATAAAACAGGTGAGTGTTACGATTTTTATAATAAAAAATTTGATTGTAAATATTTTTTTTTTCTTATTTGATGATAGTTCTCTACAGAATGTTTTTTTACGTCTGATTAAGAACTATAAGAATAATAAAAAAAGAAACAATATGAAAGTTTTTATTTCAATGTGAAGAATTCTTAAAATCGTTTTTTTTCCTAAGAATTCCTTATTTTCCGTTTTTTAGTTTATAATTTTTTGATAAAAATTGTTGTCAAAATACTTTTTTTGAAAAATTAAATGGTATAACATTATGTGTTTATGTATACTTCTTGTATATTCCAATGTTTGAAATATGATTCATCAAAGT